ATTAACTGTTCAAATGCGGAGTTTTGCGCATCGTGTGTGTGCGCGCGCGAGTGTGTGTGTGTGTGTGTGTGTGAGAGAGAGAGAGAGAGACAGCGTCACATCACAGTAGAGTCAGCTGTCTTAACCGCGGCTTGTGTACTGCATCATTACTGTGTCTGTTCCCCTTTCGGGCTTGAACTGATGGTAAAACTAATGACATTATTTACTGTCTTTACATTTATTTTGAAAGCTGACGCTCGCGATTATGGTAAGGGGCGTTACATTTCCGACGAGTGCTTGCGGTGTTCGGCCAATCACAATGCACTGGGTCAGCTGGCCAATCAGAGCAGACTGCGCTTGTCGGAAGGAGGGACTTTGTAGAAAACTAAGTGTTTGAGAGAGGCGGGGCATAGAGGACCTACAATAATGTACAGTATTTGAAAAATAATGTGTTTTTTGAACATTAAAGCATGTCAACATATTCTGTTACACCAAATACACAAAATAATGATCTTTTAAAAAGCATCATATGACCCCTTTAAGACTGCTTTTGTGCTACAGGGTCACATATGTGTGAAAACCTCAAATTTGACTTTTTTTGCCTGTAGCTCAAATTGCGCATTCCGGCTCATTTTGCCAGCACGGGTCACATATAATAATATCCTTTTAGTTATCATCTCTAGTATCGCTTGCAGAAAAGTAAAGCTGTATCTTTGCCCATGCAAGTTTTGTTTCAGTAAAAAAAAATGTTGTTTCAGTTCATACCTGCTAGCGTTTCTGTGGACAGTTGCTCATGAAACACTTTGCAAAGACCAAAACATTGCTTTGCCAAGTAAGCCTCTCTTAAAAATGCCATTATGCCAGCTATAAACAGTTTATTTTTTTTTTTGCAAGGACAGTTGAACAGCTGCTAGTAAATGACTTGGGATTACACATGCTCTTGTGGTGCCATCAGCGTATTATTGTATTTTGAAGATGTTACCGTGATGCTAAAGGTAGCAACTAATGAAGGAAAGTGTTGCACAAAAAATGAGTAGAGTAGTAGAATGTAGACTGTATTGTCTTACTGTGGTCGGTGATTTGTAGACTGTATTGTCCCTCGGCTCTTTCTCCCCAGCATCGCACAGTGGAAAACGTCCAGTCCGTGAATCCAGTCGTATCTCTACTCAAACAACAAAACTGGCGTTAAAAGCGGCCTCGCCGTGTGTGTGGAGCGAGTCAGAAGTGTGGGGACACTCACACATCCAGCGGTCTCCGGGCCCCGATCAGAGAGCTCATTCCACTGGGACAGACGAGCCGGATCTCCACGCTCGCGCGCCGCGGATGGACGATCGTCACAGTAACAGACACGTGCTCCAGCGTCTGCATGCCAGACTGCCTCAGCTCAGACAGAGAGACTATGAACCAAAGAGATTCAAATGAAAGAGTAATACACTTATAGCTTTATTTTGCATTAAACAAAATCAATTGAAACATGCAACCGATTTTCATTTCACCACTGATATGAAGCAATTACAAAGAGAGCAGAAACAAATCCACGGTGCATGCATGATGTCTGATGCAAGACTAGTTTACCGACGCATTCACACATGGCACTGCGGTCCACATTCACATCTGAACACTAGTTGACCTTCACATTAAACCACTTAAATAATCAGGCTTTAGTCAGACATGAATCTTGCATCAAGCCAGACAAATGTTAAACAGGGTGAGCAATTCAGTCCAATTATTGTGTGCTGCTTTATAAAAGACTACATTGCTAAAGGTCATGTTGATTTAATACAGTACATTTCCCCCCCACCAAAAAAAAGGTTCTGCGCCAGAAAATGACGGTAAGACTTTATTTTAAGGACCTAACTAGTTGCTTATTAGCATGCATATTACTAGCATATTGGCTGTTTATTAGTACTTATAATGCACAAATTAATGTCTTATTCTGCATGACCATATTCTAGATCCTGTAATCCCACCCAATACCTGTTTTGTAATAATTCTCAACAGCCCCTTCCTGCTAACCCTTTTATACTTTACAGCAGTTATTAAAGGTTTAGTAACTCAGAAATGTCTTTTATTTCTATACAGAGCTGCAGTGACAATGTCAATATGCGAGCTTGATATGTTCCTGCTGACGCAGTTATGCTGCTGCTACACACACATTAATGCTTTAAAATAACACAACTGCAGTAAGAGTGTGACTGAAGGACTGCTGAAAGAGAAGAGTGCAATTCTGAATTCTTACATTAGGCTAAACTAACTCCATGGCATTTCCTCAGAGAGGCTTGCTAAAACAAGCTCAACACTCTCTAACCATATAGGGAAATGATCCAAGCTCAGGGCGAGAGACAGAGAGAGAGAGAGAGACAGAGAGAGAGCGAGAGCGAGAGCGAGAGAGAGAGAGGACTATTCTACAAACTTATTGAAAGTGGCATAGGAGGTAAAACCTATGACCTTATCAAATCAATGTACACTGAAAGTAAATGTGGCGTAAAAATCAGCACCAAACGTACGAGGTATCTTTCCCAGGAGCGTGGAGTGAGACAGGGCTGCTGCTTAAGCCCAATGTTATTTAACATTTACATCAATGAACTGGCGAGCAGTCTGGAGCGATCTGCAGCCCCTGGCCTCCCCCTACACAACTCACAGATCAGATGCCTGCTGTATGCAGACGATCTGCTTCTGCTGTCTCCCACTCAACACGCTTTACAGCAGAACCTGGACCTGCTAGAGCAATACTGCCAGACCTGGGCCCTGACAGTCAACCTGAAGCAAACCAGAATTATGATCTTTCAGAAAAGATCCAGATCCCAGGGAACACAACACACATTTACATTAGGCACTAAGCAGATAACACACACATCACACTACAACTACCTGGGTTTGAAAATCACATCCACGGGAAACTTTAATCATGCTGTGAATGAACTGAGAGATAAAGCACGCAGGGCCTTCTACGCCATAAAACGACAATGTCCTATAGAGATCCCCATTAGAATTTGGCTGAAAATATTAGAATCAGTAATTGAGCCCATTGCCCTACCAGGAGCAAACGCTCCGGTATGTTATAAACTACCTTACCCTCCTAATCTAAATTGTCCAACAATAAACAAGAAAGAAAAGAAAAGAAAAAGATAGACCTGCACACGCCAAACACTCGCACTCAACGCTCCACCCACTCACTCAGCACATGCGCACAGAGAGAGAGAGAGAGAGAGAGAGAGAGAAGATAAGACGTCTGCTGAACACAGTCTGCTCCAGACTCATGATATAACTCACACAGATGTACATATACACGCACACACTTCACAGACAAACCTATTCATGAAGTCTCTTAAAATCAGTTGTTGGAATATACAGGGTCTGCACTCTTCTACTTTCGGTAACAAGTCTGCAGACCAAGACTTACTCAGCAGTGTAACAGATATGGACATTTGTATCTTTCATGAAACGTGGTGTCGCAGTAATGAGGCTTTACATTGTCCAATAGGATACAAAGAAATTGTTGTTCCTCCATTAAAAAATTCTAAAATAAAATATGGCCGTGACTCGGGTGGAATACTTATTTGGCACAAAGACAATTTGAAACACTTGATA